TGTGTGTGTGTGTGTGTGTGTGTGTGGTCAAATTAAAATAAAAAAATGAATAAATAAAGTTGAATAAATAATCATCTTAATGAATAAATAATTATCTTAAATAAATAAATAAATTTGTAAGAGAGAGTTCTGCTATAGGATACATGTGCTTACCAGAGATAGAGACAGAAAGAGTCAGAGACAAAAAGTGAGAAATCACCTCCTGGGGGGATGACCATGCCACAATCCCTTCTCCATTCTCCTCTTTGGATCTTGGGCATACATGCATACACACCCCATGTGAGTTTTAAGCTACCGGATCCAGGACACGAACCACAGTTGACTATTTGGGAGTCCAGTGACATAACCATTACACCATCTGCTGCTTCCAAGAAACAATAAATATTTTTAACTTCAATCATTACTACTTACTAGACCATACAAGTTTACCACAATGATTCCTCATCTCTGCTTCTCTAGTGAAATAGAGAAGCCTTCAATGCATTTTTTTTAATTGCTAGAAGACATGTATGCTCACCAAAGAGACAGAAAAAGGGAGAGAGAGATGGAGAGAGAAAGCAACCCCTAATAGGTCATGTTAATGCCATGATCCCCTCTATGATTCTCCATCCTGTTAGGATTTGGGGCACACAAGCACATGTATTCAGCGTGTTGTTCAAGCCACTGGGGCTGAGAATCAAATCACAGTTGGTCATGTGGGATCCAATTCCCTTAACCACTGTGCTATGGGCCAGCCCTTTGATGCATCTTTAAAAAGTAAAAATCTAACCTTTCAAATTAGCCAACTCAAGAATTTAGGTAATCTCAAACAACACACACAACTAATAGAGGTACAAGAACCTACCAAGAAAACCTTTGTTAAAAACAGGAAACCTGTTTTTTTTCTTTCTTTCTTTTTTTGGAGAGGTTTTTGCTATAGTGCGCATGCACTCACCAAACAGAGACAGACAGACAGAAAGTGAGAAATCACCCCCCAAGGGGAATGGCCACGCTGCAACCCCTTTTCCTCCATTCTCCTCTTGGGATCCTGGGCACGCATGCACACGTGCCCGACATGAGTTTAAGCTACCAGGTCCGGGACTCGAACCACTGTCGACTACGCAGGAGTCCAGCGACATTGCCATTAGGCTAACTGCTGGTCCCAGGAAACCTGTTTTTTGTAACAGAAATACCAGAGCATTCTCTTTCCATTCTCCACTCACAGGTAGCTTTCCTACCACTACCTACCCCCTAGTACCCTCTCCACTACTGGAGAGCACACTTCTTCCGACTCAGAACACATCTGATAAAGGGAAAGTCCTTGAAAAAGTGTTCTTCAGTGTTCACAGACTGAAGCAATCACCGACCACAGGACAAACTGTTAGATCTGGGTGGTAACCAGATACAAACAAATCAGGTTTTTTTTAAAAAAAAAATAATTATTTTAATTTAATTTATTATTATGATTATTATTATTATTTACTTTAACCAGAGAGAGAGAGAGAGAGGGAAAGTACGAAGGCAAGTCACCAGATCCAGGACTTGAACTGTCATCAGTCTGGGGGAGTCCAGTGTCCCAACCACCACGCCACCGGCTGGCCCCACAAATCAGGTTTAGAAAAAAGTTGATCAAGCACCTCTAGGTGCCAGCATCTGGCCTGGTGGTTACAGTGCTGGACTCCCACATAGCTGGCCACAGTTCAAGCCAGATCTGGCAGCTTGAGAATCATGCTGGGCATGTGTACCCAAAATCCCAGGAAGAGAATGGAGAAGGCATTCTGGCATGGCCATGGCAGGGAGGGGGGAATTTCTCACTTTCCCTTTTACTATCTCTCTTTGGCAAGTACATGCACCCTATGGCAAAAACCTAAAACAATAAAATAAAATAAATAAAATAATAAAATAAAAATCAGGAATGTCTAATTCAGCTTACCAATTAGTCACGAGAAAGGAAATCAAGGAGATCCAGGAGAAGCTGAACCTCAGTGAGAATGTGAGGACCACACCATTGGGCCATAGTAATTTTGAAACGCCCTCCCTCTTTTCTCTGAGTCTAAGACCCTGTTTAAAAGTCACCTCTGGGGACCAGCAGTTAGCGTAATGGCTGGGTCGCTGGACTTCCACATAGTCGACAGTGGTTTGAGTCCTGGACACGGGGGTTTAAACTCACGCCGGGCGTGTGTGCGTGCGTACCCAAGATCGCAAGAGGAGAATGGAGGAGAAGGGATTGCGGCGGGGCCCTCCCCTCTGGGGGGGTGCTTTCTCGCTTTCTGTCTCTATGTCTCTGTCTGTCTGGTGAGCGCACGCGCCCTGTAGCATAAACCTCTCCAAAAAAAAAAAAAAAAAAGTCACCTCTGCTGCCTTCTACCACGTGTCAGGCACTTGCTCCTAGTGCTCCTCTCTGTGTGCACTTGTGATAACACTTAGCACAGCACTGGTATTTTAATCATCTGTTTACTCCACTGTCTCCCTACTGCCTGTGCACTTGAGGGCAGGGATGGTGTCTTGTTCATCTCTGTAGCCTGCCCACAGCCTGGCACAACACACACATGCTGAATGAGTGACTAAATGAATTAATAAAATGGAAGCAGTGAGAGAACAGTAAATCAAAAAGACATGTGCACTTGGTTGGAAAACTGGAAATGGGAGACAGAAGTGGTCTTTACTTCAGTAGGAGCTGAAAGGCCCAAGGAGACGAATTTAGTAAGCCAGAAGTTACCGAAGCTTGATAGCCAGACCTTAGAGGTGACCGGAAAAACAACACTTGGGCTGCCTGAAGAGACGAACAGTACATAAATCAGAGGGTTACTAAAAGCCAGAGGAACTCCAAGGCAAAATGGATACAAAAGGACTTTGAAGGTTTGTGAGAAATGGAACTTGATGCAGAAAACACCGAAATCCAGACAGGGAATCCCCTCTGTCTCTGTCTCGTTCCTGCATTCAGTTAGCGTTCCAAAAACGAGGCGTTCACAATTACACACTACTACAATGCATATGTAGCTT